TGGAATATCTTCTCATCCTTTCTATCCTGCCCACAAGTCAGGAAAATCCCCAGGGCTTGCTGGCCAGCCAATCTTGCCTATTTGAAGAGCCTTGTGTCTCAGTGAGAAATCTTATCTTAAAAAACAAGGTGGGTGGCTCCTGAAGTTGACTTCTGGCCTCCTTCAACATCACACAGACACTGGCAAGATCCAGATGGGGCTAGCAGTCAGGCTGAAGAGGGTTAGGGATGTGCTTCTGCCTGCAACCGGTTTTCCTCTGGCCTAGGTGGGATACACACTGTCTGGATCCTTGGGTCCTCCTGCCTCTGGGCTCCTGAAGGGCTAGGACGATGTCACCTGGGCTTCTAGTTCTCCTGTATTCCAGAAGACAGTGAGCACTGCAGGACTCCTGTGGTCCAGGGACCAGAGGTGTTCGCCTTCCTGTTGACTTGTTTATGGAACACCTATTTCAAGGCTGAGACTGCTTTGCTAAGTACTGATCCAGCCCCAAGGCAAGATCTAAAGACAGTAGACAATTTGCAGTCTGCTCACTCTGGAGCCTGAAAGAGCAGGGTTCTAAAGCAGGACCCTGTCTCCAGGCCTTTATTCCTCCCCCCTTCTCACCCAAGAGAGAATCCTCAACTCCTTAGCCTTAGCAGGAGAGTTCCAGGTGGGAGGGGCCAGGGAAAGGGAAGTGGATCTTGCCTCTTGCAGTGCCTCAATTAACTGAGGCCCTGCTCCCCTTTGTCTGTGAGAGCAGCCTTGGAGAATCATGCTGTGGGGTCCTAGGAGAACTCTTCGCTTTCTCTTTTCAGCCTGAACTGGGCCTTGTACCCACTCCCTCACTACCTTCCTCAGGCTGAGAACTGGGCCCTGGGAGTGGACATGAAATTGTTCTTTTGACTTCTAGGAGTAGCTACCCCATCTCTGTTAGCTTCCCAGCACTTGTTTTTCAAAACCTTTGTCCTCATCCTCCCCCTCCCTCTAGGCCATCCTTCCTCTCTCCTCCAGAGACTGAGATGGAGAAGGACTGTGGGGGACATTCTGCACCTAGAACTGCTGGTAGCTGTGGGTCCCGACGTCTACCGGGCTCACCGGGAGGACACAGAACGCTATGTGCTTACCAACCTCAATATCGTGAGTGGTGGTGGGCTGGCAATGGCTGGTCCAGGAAGGTGGGCTCAGGGTCTCTGGTGGGTCTGTGGGCTCTCTCTCTGAGCCTCTGGACATAATGCCCCACCCTCGGGGATTGTGACCAAAAGTCAGTATGTTTGAACTCGCATAGAAGCTGAGGGTCTGCGGAGCTCATGGCCCTAAAGAGAAAAGGAGGTCACTGCTGTCTTCCTCTTCTCTCATTTCCACTGCAGCAGAGATGGACAAAATCAGGGAATCCCTTTCAATAACTCCTCCCCCCAGTCTCTCAGTTCTGCCCCAGTGTTCATGTGGCCAACAGTGAGTGCAGTCTGCACACACTGCTCCCTCTTCAGAGGCACAGAGAAGATGAGCGCTCTAGGTGTGAACAGATGCTGTTCTGCCTGGAGATGTGAGGCTCCCTTTCTCACCGGCACCTCCTCCGTGTGATCTGATGGTTGGGAGAACAGAGGCGCCTCACACCCTTAACCCTTATGTCAGAATGGCCAAGACACAAGCAATATCAAGCTTTCCTCAGAGAGGACATTCGTACAGTGCACATAAGACATATGTGTGGTATGATAGTTCCAGACCTTCAGGAATTCACACTGGACCAATGGTATTCGTGAGCATTCATATGGTGTCACTAGACCCAATGTGAAAAGAGTGGTTGGGTCTATTTGCTGGAGCAATGTCTTCAAAAGAATGATGAACTAAGCTGGGGGTTGTAGCAGACACTATCAGCCCAGCATCCAGAAGACTCAGACAGGAAGGTCACAAGTTTGAGACCAGTTTGGTCTTATTGGGCTGTCCCAAAAAGAGGGGAAGGAAGGAAGGAAGGAAGGAAGGAAGGAAGGAAGGAAGGAAGGAAGGAAG